TGACGGTCGCGGCTCGCGGATTGTTATGCTCTCGATAACAGCACACAATCGCGGTTTGAGCAACATTCCGCATTCCGCACTTGGATGCAAGTGAGTTAAGTCGTGTTATTCAGCAGTAGAGTGTATATCAGATTCTAGTTTATCTGTTGTTTTTATATTTTGAATACATATTTATATCCCCGATATGGCAAATAAAAGAAAAATTTGTGAAAATTATAGTGATATTGAAAGTAGTAGCGACGAATTAGAATTTGAAGTTCATAGTGAACATTACATAAATAATATAGACGCTCTTGGCCGTGATGAAGCAGACAATATTGAACTAAGCCATGAATCCGATTCTAATGATAGTGATATATTTCCTGCTGTACGACGACACATACCGAGAATTGAAAGTGATATTGAAGTGAAGTTTGTAAAATTGTTGGTGGACCAATTGATTGGAAATTTCCGACAAAACAGCACATCTCGAGAATACAGTTACACACCAAATACGGAGGCCAGGCTCAACAACCACCTACATATTATACGTTCTGGAACCAAGAAAGATTGTGTAGTGTGTTCGAATAGAAAAATTCCAGGCGAAAGACGGCAGACCCATTATTTTTGTGATACCTGTCTAGAGAAGCCAAGATTACATATTGGCAATTGCTTCGAGAGGTATCACACTTTGGAAGATTACAAAATGTAATAATTTTATAATTTTTTTTATATATCCTAACATTTGTATCTATAAACAATTAAAAAAATAATAACATACAACGATGACTTTTCTTTTAATGCTTATATCATGAACTTACATGTGAATATGATCTTTTCACTAAAATGGCTTCGAGTTGCTGGTAATATGACTCAAAAAAACTTCGAGTGCAAAGGGTTAAAACGGGTAGATCTCCCCGTTCGGTTGGCTAAGTGTTAACACTTTCACAACCGCGCGTTATTAAAACACGTTCCGTGCCATGTGTACCATCGATGGTACATGCTTACATGTTTCTTTAATGCGTTAACAAAATAGTTTGTAGCAAATATAGAACCGAAGAATTAATTCTACCGCAAGAATGGGTCATGATAAGTTTGTTTTATTATTACATACGATGATTAATAATTACATATAATATATCAAGTTTTAGTAAAATATCAAATGGCCAGCGTGAAAAGTCGAGTAAAAACAACTCGGCATAGAACGTGTTAAGAAAAGTTTTGCAAATGGCTTGCCACTGGTACCACGTGGGAGTCACCGGCAAATAGCGACTGGCCTATCAATGGTACCACGTGAGTGTCACCGGCAAATAACGACTGGTCTACCAATGACACCGCACGAGTGTCACCGGCATACAACGACTGGCCTGCCCGTGACACCGCAGTGGTGTCAGCGGTTGTGAAAGTGTTAATACGCTCTCCCCAATAAATACGAGGACCTCTCGACCGGGAGACGTTAGTTAGTTTTTCCAGTTTTCCTCCGACTCTCGACGCGTTCGTATCTCTGTCTCGTCCGTCGCTCGCTTACCTTTTACCTTCTACGTATTTTCAAACACACCGTACCCCATCGCCTTTTTTGTTACAAGTTGCATTCAAGTTCTCGTTACGTAAAACCAAAAGCTCTCTCGGATTATTTTATAGAAACCGTCGCAGTAGCCCCTGCGACAAAGCGTATTTCAGATCGTCGGTTACCGCGCGGTAAGTTCGGGGCGGATTCGAGGATCGTGGCGGCATAATTTCGATCTGTGGCGGACCAGATCATCCCGGTCGGAAAATCTTCGGGAAAGGCCTTCGCCCTTCCCAAGGACTTTCCCTTACCAATTTCAATACGCTCTCCCCAATAAATACGAGGACCTCTCGACCGGGAGACGTTAGTTAGCTAGTTTTCCTCCGACTCTCGACGTGTTCGTATTTCTGTCTCATCCGTCACTCGTTTACCTTTACCTTTTACACACTGTACCCCATCGCTTTTTTGTTACAAGTTATATTAAAGTTCTCGTTATGTAAAACCAAAAAAAACTCTCTCGGATTATTTTATATAAACCGTCGCAGTATATAACCCCTGCGACAAAGATCGAACAGCGTCTTACTTGGATGAGATGGGGATTCTCGATCTTGGTAAGGATCTCGAGTTCACGGGGGAAAAACTTGTTCAAAAAGTCCTCGGGCGCTTTCTCTTTGTCGAATATCTTGCACGCCAATCGCAATTTCTTCGAGCTCGTCCCGTCGACGTATTCGGCCAGGTGCACGGTCGCGTACGAGCCCTGACACGTTAGACAAGATGCAACGATCAGCTAGCTAGTCGTTTAGGCGTTCCGAGCGGATTTATGATCGCTGCGAAACCGAAATTCTCTGTTGCACCTGTCGACGTTCTCTGTCTCGACGCGCGAAACGAGCGAGAAACGTAGGAATCGTCGTATTTGGCGCGATCGAGCATTCGTCAAGTATTAGGTCTACCGGAAAGTCCTGTCCGTTTTGGAATTGAAATATGCAACGATATCAGGGTGTCCCATAAGTTCCTTCCGCGCCGCGCTACGAATGACTTTAACTGGCTGTGTTTATATAAACACGTGGGCTTATCTCTTGGCTGTTCAGGGTATCGGTTGCAGTCGTCCCAGAGCTCTTTTATAGTATGTTTCGTTGGTGACAAAGTTCCTTATCAAATTTTGTCTGCGCCGTTCGATGTGGATAGCCGAAATAAGCACATTTGCGGCATGTTATGCTTTATTGCTTTAACCCTTTTAGCACCGATATATCGTCGTTCGGTGCACTCGCCAAAAATACCAACGACGATATATCGTTGCGCCTCTGTTAGAGCCTTATTATACTCATCACAAAAGATCCGTGTTTAAGTATAACTTCATAAAATGTTAAAATGGTTCATATTCGATGCAACACAAGTGAAAAAATGTTTATTAGATCAACTTTTTGTTATATCTTATGTTGTTTCGTGCCGAGGGTCTGTATATGCCAGAGTGAATCTTTCACGAATTTCAGGAAAGTAAATGTTGAAAACGATAGCCAATATAACCCGCGTCCGTTATTTTCGGAAATACTCGGCCCTAAACATTTGCCACCGAACATATCCAAACCAATAGAATATTTCGATTTATTTTTTACGTACCAATTTCTGAACATGTTGATTTTTTCTATGTGCAATTACGTTTTGAAAAAGAGAAATTACTTTGTACGATTTTTATTGTCTTATACTTATGTTATTCTTATGATTTTTAACAAATATCGAAACTTCATTGGTATTGATTTATTCTCCATTCCTTTCGCAATATGCTGTTTTTCGAATTTTGTAAATATCACGCCTACTTTGGTTTTTACGAGCATTTTCCCAAACCTCTACAAATTCGCCGATTCGGCCCAGTATTCTTCGCCTAGGTACGCTTCTTTCGCTCGGTGCTAAAAGGGTTCAAAAAAGTGTTAGGGCAAAGGACACTGCAAACGAGATTTGTACCGTTTACAGCGATGGTTCTACGACCATTAGGACAGTCCGCGATTGATTTGAGAGATTTAGAGCTGGCAATTTTGATTTGAAAGACCAAGACCGCAGCAGCCGTCCAACAACGACGGACGCGGACCTTGTCAAAGATATGCTCGCTGAAAATTCGCGATATAGTGTGCGCGAGATAGCGGATGCCACTAACATACCCAGGAAAACGGTACATAAGCGGTTAACACGTTCCGTGCCGAGCTTTTTTTACTCGAATCTTCACACTTTGATATTTTACTAAAACTTGATGTATTACGTGCAATTATATTAACCCTTTCGATACTACGGGCCACTATAGCGGCCTTCCATAAGATGCCACCGAGGTACTACGGGTCACTATAGTGGCCCTCCATAAGTTCGATCGTTTGTAGCGAATAAAGTCAGTGCTTACTGCAGAAAGATAATTCACCTTATTTTTCTCTCAACAAGGGATAAATAGATATGCCTTTATTTTTTTTCTTTCAATTTTGTTTAACTTTATTTGGATTAACCCTTTTGCTACGGGCGGTTTCTCCGCTGCAGTATCCCCGCAACGATCGACGTCTTGTAGCGTGCAGTGATGTCGCAGCGCGCCGTTCAGCAGAAGTACCGCGGCGGAAAATCCGCCCGTAGCGAAAGGGTTAATTCTCGTACACATAACAACGTAACAAAAACTTATCAACGCCCATTCTTGCGGTGGAAATTGATTCTTCGGTTCTAAATTTCTTGTAAACAATTTGTCCAGTTCACTAAGTAAACATGCAAGCGTGTACCATCGATGGTACACGTGGCACGGAACGTGTCAATCACACCGTCGATAGGTGTTGACACCAGCCTTATGAACCCGCGTCTCTACGTGCGATTTGCTTCTCCAACGACATGGAAGAAATCCTTTCCTAAAGAGACTTGTCACTGGAGACGAGACTTGGATTTCATAGCAAAATGTGCATCGAAGACGAACTTGGTCAAAAGGAAATAGTCCCTCAATTGTTGCGAAGTCAGGACTTCGTCCGAAGAAAGTTCTTTCGCGCGTTTGGTGGGACTGGAAAGGCGTAGTCTGCCACGAACTCCTTTCTCAAGGTGAAACGATCGATTCGGCTAAATATTGTAATCAACTCGACGAATCGAAAGCCACCATAGCAGAAAAACGGCCAGAATTGGCGAACCGACGCGGCGTCGTTTTTCATCGCGACAACGCAAAACCGCGTGTCGCGTTGTTCGTAAGATAAAAATGATTGCAGTTCGATTGGAACGTTCTATCTCATCCTCCGTACTCTCCAGACATTGCTCCATCCCGATTATTACTTGTCCTTCTCGTTCAAAAATTCTCTCCGTGAAAAACGGTTTAAATTCGTAAGCGAGATAAAAACGCACCTTGAACAATATTTCGCAAATAAGCCTCGACAATTTTGGAAAGAGGGCATAATGAGGCTTCCTGAGAGATGGAAGAAGGTTATAGAACAGAACGGTTCATATATATCATGATAAATCCATCTTAAACAAAAAATATCGTGTATTCATTTCGCATCAAAAAAAGGGAAGAAACTTATGGGACACCCTAATATGTATGCAACAAGGGATTGTTGCATTATTCCCTTGTTAATAAATAATGTAAATGCAATAACGTAACAACATTATACATTATACAGTATACGATTCATTGTAGCTGATATAGGATCGCAATCAACGCCGGGTAAGCTTAACTTTACCCTCAACTGGACGCATAATCTTCCGACTATATTATTATAATTAACGCAGCAGTCAGTGTTGAATCCGACTCGACGCACGACCGCAAAGGATTAATGTTTCGCACGACTTCCGACTGTCCGCTTGTATTAGGTCTACCGGAAAGTTCTGTCCGTTTTTGAATTGAAATATAACACGATTTTCATACGTTTAATAATATTTATCGTAGAATATACTTTCCATCGTTACTTATGACTTCTTGCCAGCGCGATGGCGTCTTGTAAATGCTATTTTTAAAAAATGATTTATTTTTAGAGGCGAACAACTCAACCAGTGCTTGGTTGACGTCAGCTTCGGTTTTGAATTTTTCTTCCTGTAAAAAGTTTTGCAAAGAGAGAAACAAATGATAATCGGAGGTTGCTAGGTCCGGGGAGTGTGGTGGATGCGACAGAATTTCCCGGCCTAGCTCTGCGATTTTCTGACGAGTCGCCAAAGCAGCGTGTGGTCTGGCATTATCATCGGTGGCCATGTTTTCACGATCGCGTCTCACTTAATAACGACATGAGACATCTTTGTTTCAGTTTATTTAGGAGAGTACGTGTGCGTAAATGCAACGATAAAGAGAGATAGTCGTATACGTCTCAAATCAACATGGCATATGGATTGAAACTTGAAGCGACACTATCGGACAGAACTTTCCGGTAGACCTAATATATCTTGAATAAAATTTCTAGAACGATATTCATTTTAGAACGGTATCGTAAATACATACAGTAATGTCTCCCTAACTGACGCTCAGATTGTGCACGAAAATGGACAATTTGGGAAGAGGAGATACGATTATTCGAGCCTTGTAAGCCGTTTTTTATAATTGCTGACAATTCGTAACTATAAAAAGAAATCGCAAGGCTCGCGAATAATCGTACCTCCTCTTCCCAAATTGTCCATTTTCGTGGACAATCCGAGCGTCAATTAGAGAGGCATTACTGAACAATCTTATATGAAAGCCATTGCATCCTGTACACGGTATATACGGCGAAGAGTTGATCGAACCGTGAATTTCATCGAAAAGAAAATTCCAGGAGAGCGGATTCGCGGAGTGCGACAGGTGCTCGGTTAAAAATGTCCCCGCGGTGACATCTTCGTTTCAGTTTATTTAGGAGAGTACATGTGCGTAAATGCAACGATAAGGAGAGATAGATAGTCGTATATGTCTCAAATCAACATGTGCGTATGGATTGAAACTTGAAGTGACACTGTCGGACAGAACTTTCCTAATATACCTAATATATTCGGCGTGCATCGCCTAATATATTCGCGACACACCGACATATATCGCCCTAATATATTCGGCGACACACCGTCGCGGTTACAAATCGCCGGTACACGATTCGAGCACGCGGAAAAATAAGGGCATAAAACGCGCGACCGAAAGAAGAGCGAGGGATAATCGACGGAGGTTGAAAACGGGACCGAGAAAGAAAAAAGAAAAGGAAAAAAAGGGAAAAAGAAACGTGCAATTTCTGGTTAACGAAGGGTGGAGTGGAGTCCGGGCGAGATCAAAGGCGGCGCGAAGTTCAAAAAGAAAGGAGCCCCGTTACGGAGCCGCGCGATAGAAACAGGTGCAGGAGAAGTGGAAGAGGTTAACGAACAGGTGGGGTGAAGAGAGAGGGTTGGGGGTAATATAACCTGTCCGATCTTTTTGCCAATCAGATAGCCCCGCTGCTCAAGAGCGTTCACCTCCGAATTTCGGGGGCTGAGTCGCGTGGCCATGCCGCAGGATCTTCATTGGACTTTCGAGGCTGATAACAGACGAACTTGTTCTCTGTCTCTCCTCGTGTTCCCACGTTCCTGGCCTCTACTCTCCGCTCTCCCTCCGGTCGTCTCTCTCCCTCTGTTTTCACGCTGTTTCTCGTTCGTCGATTACGGCGAAACTTGTGGTTTTTTCTCGTGGTCCTTGACACACGGTTGCTCGCAGCTTCCTCGAAATTCGACCGAACTCTTGTTGGAACGAACGCGCGGACACGCGTATAGGGCCCCCTTTGCAGCCGACGATCAGCTCCGTCGGGATTGTGTTACGTCGACGAACCCCTGTCCGGGTGTCGTTTTGTCATGTCAGAAGGCTGCGTGCACTAGAATTTTGAGCGTCGTAGACCAGCTTGTGCCTGGCACGGAACGGAGCAGAGAGAAAGATCCGTGTTTCATTCGAACACAGCCATTGTACTTAGAAACAACGAACAGTTGACCGGCGAGTGCGATTCGTTGCGAGATCGTCGCACCGATCAACGGCTGCTTTCAAATCGCAAGCATTTTTGTTCTTATCGCGAGCGATCGGGGGACCGTGGTCCTCTGTCTAATCAACCACCGCTTGCCGAAAAGCACGGTCGTTTCTCTGTAATTCGCGCTCAGGTGGCGCACAAAAATCGACTATTTCGGAAGAGAAGTTACGATTTATTCGAGCCTTGCGGCTCGTTTTTATTGTAACCGAGTGTCGATAGATTGTCAAAATCCCAAGTTGTCCATTTTTTTTGGTGCGCAGTCTGGGCGCGAATTAGGTTTACACGTTTTTCGATGTTTTACGGTTTATTCTCTTTACTTGTTTCATTATGCGTGAATTTTATTGAAACTTCTTACGTGTTGGACGCGAATATTTCTTGCCGCGTTTCCGGTAAGAAGCAATGCGCATTCCGGCAAGAATAATCTGCTTCTAGAACCAATTGTTGGTAATTTTAGCTTGTTCTCTGTACGATGCAGATCTAAAATCTAAAGAATCTAAAATCTAAAATCTAAAATCTAAAATCTAAAATCTAAAATCTAAAATCTAAAATCTAAAATCTAAAATCTAAAATCTAAAATCTAAAATCTAAAATCTGAATCTGAATCGGTAACGCGGTAATCAAACTGGGTAACGGATAACGGGTAACGGAGTAACGTGTGTCTGGTAACGGTGTAACGAGGGAACGGATAACTGCAAACGAGTCACTGGTAACGGGTAACGGGGTAACGGGTAACGGAGAAACGGGGTAACGGGGGTACGGATAACGGATGACGGGTCGCTGGTAACGGCGTAACGGATAACGGGGGAACGGGTAACGGATAACCGATAATAGATAATATATAATAGACAATATGGATAATGGATAAGGAATAATGGATAATGGATTATACATAATGGGTAATGGATAACGCGTAATCGATAGTAGATAATGGAAGATGAAGAATGGATAATGGATAATTGAGAATAGGCAATAGATTTACAATACAATTGATGATATAATAATGGTATTTTGTAATATAAGCCTTTAAACGCAAGATAAAAATTTTTGACGACCAGACCATCGATGATTTTTGTCGATAAAAATCAAACATTCGCCACGACATTGTACTTACCTACCTGTGTCGAATGATGCTGAAAAAAGATGCTGATTTAAGTAAACTTACTCGATAATTATAAATGATCGATAAAATAGAAAACATTAATTACCCACATGTGCAACTAGTCCAGCGACAGTGGCGTTCCTTGTAGCGAAATCTTGATGATGTAAGCAAGGTACGTACAACGCCAATCAACATACCTGAAAAATGCTTATGGCTCTAGACTCCATAGCGAGATGATAAAGGCAGAAGACACAGTTACCGACAATTTGAGACGGAAACATGGGTTTATAGTACGAATGTCGGATTGGGATTTTGTTTTTCTTTGTAAGAAAAGCCACTGTCGCCTGCATACGCGAAATGCAAGGATACCGACAAACATTCAAGGACTTGACTCCTTAGCGAGGTGGTAAAGGTAGAGGAAACAGTTACCGACAATTTGAGACGGAAACATGGGTTTATAATACGGATGTCGAATTGGAATTTTGTTTTTCTTTGTAAGAGAAGCCACTGTCGCCTGCATATGCGAAATGCAAGGATAGCGACAAACATTAATGGGCTTGACTCCTTAGCGAGGTGGTAAAGGTAGAGGATATAGTTACCGACAATTTGAGACGGAAACATGGGTTTATAGTACGAATGTCGAACTGTGTTCATTCATTTTGAAGAATAATCTGAAACTAATAACCCTTTTCAATTAGGATTTTCAGATTCTTTATTCTCAGGTTAATACTACAGAGGTAGTAAATTATTGTGTATATTATCATGATTATGTAAATTATAATGTATACGTATTGTTAATTGGTCACTGTACTGGCTGCCGTAGTAATAGTAGTTGTTTAAATATTTATTCGTGTATTATTCCCCATCTGCTTACAGTTTATGTATTTATTTGTATTCGAATCGAGTTTCTTTTTCATTGGTTATAGAAAATTCCGGTGGCTCCATCTCGTATTTATAAAACAGTTACACATCTCTAGATAATACCATTTATGTAACGTAATCTGTACAGCAAATATCAACCTGCCGAATCTGTAAAGTTACACGACTCTCCTAACCCCTTGTATGTCAAAATTATGGCATAAAACAATAAATCAAAGGCACAGATTTATTCAGATGATAACGTCGCAAAATATAATTATAATGTAGATAATATCGGTGCAACAGATTCTATTGAACAATTTTATTCCCTTGGTTTATTGTATTATACCTTTATTTTGCTGTAATTAATGTTTTAATGCGACTCTTTATTCTACGAGTGTCAATGGTTAAAAGTGGTGCGTCTTTTGTAATATGGTTATTAATTACCGACAGTCGGTATCGGTTAACAGTTTGAGCATTTTGCCACTACATCGGTTGGCATTGTATAGACCCCGAAGATGAACTTCGAGATTTTACCGCAAGAAGCGCCACTTTACATAAGGGCGCCATTTTTAAATTTGCATACTCGCTCATACAAATAGACTTCTTTGCTACGTTCGAAATTTGAGCGATTATGTGGTATTGCAAATTAGAAAACATCGGCAGTAGAAATTCTGTTTATTTGTTTCTGATCATTTACGCTGGCGCGGTACTTTCGCTCGGCACCGGACAGTGTAATACAAGGAAAGATTAATAGCAATGGTCTCGTGGTGTTACATGAGTAAAAATACAGACGATAGTAAAATTAATAAAATTAGTATGCTTTTTTTATAGTGACTGTATTTATATCGATAAGTGATATTAAAAATATATATGTATAAACACATGTATATATATATTTCGTGTAATCTAGCGTTCACCGAATAAAATGGTCTCGAAAGAACGACAATCGCGCTACAATATACACATATATACGTATTTCTAACAACTGATAATCGGGATTGGCCTTGTTAAAAACTATAAAAAACAGTAACAACAACGACGACGTTCTCGTCCGTGGCCGCCGTGATGGTAAAACGGTGCCACACGTTTTCAGCGCGACGTAAATTTTCCTTCCCGATAACAATTTTCATCGATCTCAACTAAGCAATGGATGAGAAAACCACTCGATTAGCTAGTGGGTAAACCATAAATGAGTTTGCCAGCGATGCGAGAGTACAGTCAGGTTATTACACATCAAGTATCCAATTTTTTTTTTTACGTCAATGTTATAAAGTTGGAAAATTCTTACAACTTCCTAAACGTATTATGCACCATCTTAAAGCACAGTATCTGTTCCTAAAACTTCAATGTCAATTTTTTAGTATCTCAGGAAGTATCGATTTTGTATAGTCGACTGCAACGAGTTTACCCCAAATATTCATATCTGCTCCATCAATGTTAATTGTCATTATTTAATATTGTACATTTGACGAATTTACAGGGCAAAATTTGGTCTGAAATTATTGCTGAAAATTGGACATGTGAAACAACTTCACTCAATGGGTAGAATGCAGATCTGTAAATTTGGAGTAATTTGCACAGCACCCTATTTTCGCAGGAACCCTTATTTTTCAAATGTGCTTGTACATAATATTTACGGAAATATTGTTAGCAAAGAACACGATTAAGAAGTGTGTAAAGATCCACAGTTCAATCGCGCCGAACGTACTTCGAAATTGCCTAAATGAAATCTAACGAGGACCGTTTTCCATCGGCAGTCACCTAACAACTAGATCTCTCTAAAAAATGCATTGGCACTTTCTCGCGTGATCAATGGACCATCGAATCGCCCTGTTCTCGAACCGAAACGGCGTGTGCGGGTTTTATTAACAGACAATAATGTCTCTGGACCATGTTTACATCTCGTAGATCTTTATCTACAAAATAAGATCCGTCATTTCAACATTGGAACTATCAAACCAGTCTACCAAGCATCAGATTTCTCTTTTAACAAAATACAATTGCAAAATTCTTCAAATATATTTCCCCGCCATTTTGGAAACTTTTACGTTTATAAGTCGCTGTAGAACTTGACAATAGCGCAATCGCTAATATAAGTTCACAGGTGTTCTTAATAATTCTAAATAAAACTTCAAATAAAATAAACTATCCACTATATTTAGTATAAAATAAAATTTTACCCATCCCTCATTTATGGTCTTATAATATATGCAAATGATTTGTGGATTTATTTTACACTGACTTATATAATAAGAAAATTATTTCAAAGACATGTGAAATTCATTTTTTACACCTAACGTATCGTTTGCGATCGTTTAGATTGGTTGATAGTTTCAGCGTCAAACGCAGGCAACACAGAGTGATCATGATTAGACTGTGGCTTTTACAAATAGAACAAATATTATCAAAAACTTTACTAACGTCCCACTTCGTCCCACTCTTTACTAAACGACTAAATGAATAATTAATGCGTACACAATTTCCAGAAATTTACCACGTAAAATATTATCGAAAACGTCAATTCCGACGGAAAAGGAGACTGAAGAAATTGTTATTTTCACAAAATTCATGGAATTCCACAGCATAATCGTGACGTCTTGATACTGCATATTTTTTCATCGTTGAGACTTTACGGTCCTTTAAACGAGCTCCCGATCCAAGAGGGTCCCGAACAGGTCCGGTTGCACCTGTAGTAGCCCGCTACTCGTTAAACTCGGATCGTAATCAAAGTTTTCAAAGTTGATCATCGTCGAAGACGGCGAGACCAACGATCCTTCGCTGATGAACGTGCCGGAGAGTCGTTTGCTCGAGTCCGGACTCAGCTGATCGTACGATCCTGTTGATCCTCCGGATGCAGGACACTGAGGCACCATTTGGTTATCCAGGTTGACGGACAACGGTGTTGTCAAGCTCTTTGAGAGCGAGGTGGGCACGTTACGAGATTCCATCAGGTTCTCCTGCAATATGTTATACAAATTATTATGCTGATGATAGTATTAAATATTAACAAATTGGGACAATAACAATTCAGTGCGACTATTGTAAAAGCTGTACAAATATATAATATAATAATAATAATATATAATAATATAATATATATTATATATTATAATTATATATAATATAATATAATTATTATATATTATTATTATATATTATATATCTAATATATATAATATAATATATAATAATAAAAACGATTTCATTCCCACTACCGCGTTCTGATCGGTACCACGTGAGCAACGAATCGTCCTGGTTGTTTCTTTATTATTATAATACGGACAAGAGCTAAAACTAAATAAATAATTTTCGCTGCGAACGAAACCTTCGTCGAGCATATCGGATTCCTCGTACATTTATCAAACGATGCTATGATTCTAGCAAATCGGTAATTCTAGTATTAATGAAATCGATTGAAATGCCACTCGAGCATGCTGCGTTTCGTCCAAATAGCAGGAAAAGTGGGAGACTGTTAAAATGAAAAACAGTATCTAATCACGTACCGCTGCAGTCGCATCTTCCTCGACACACAAAAACAAGGCCATGTTCGTCGATGTTTTTATTACATAATTCTACGCAAACTACAATCAATAAAACTTATCATTTTTAAATACTCAAGAACGCGCTATCTGTATAGAAAGACTCGCGGAAGCCACGAAACCCCACAAATAAACGTCCCTATCTCATGATGTACTACTGTTTTGTCATAACAAACAATGAAAAAAATCTCGTGCATTTTATATGTATATATCACTCAATAATAACTGATCAAAACTATCTTCGAACATAATATTGAACTATAAAAGAACATAAAAAGCAATGGGGATCGCGAGACGGTCGATAACGATCAAAGCTCTTTTACAGCCGGCTATAAATTCTGCATCAAACGCTACTCTATACGAATCCTCTCGGACACCAAAGAACGAGGCTAGAGATCCTCGCGAACAGCAACAAAACGCAAACAGATGGAGCAGTAGGGATGAGAGAGAGGAGGAAACGAAACGCAGCAGTACAGGTGGTTCGATGTTCAATGTTCAATGTATTTCTTCCTTTTCGTCTTGACAATCTTCAATCAACAATTCCATATACTTTGCAAGTAGAGAATACATAACGTGACTCTAAGGGTCGCGGTGGTACCGACGACCATGCCGACGTACTCGACGAAACATCTCGTCCCTGAATCGCGGGGACCACGGTCGCTCGATCATGCTCGTCCACACGTTTGCTCCGTCGCCGGAGAAACCATAAAGAAACAATCGTCCCAGGACCCAGCGACCGGGGGTTCAAGAGTTCACCGTTCCTCGAGCATCTGCGCAAGCACATCCGGAGCGGACCAAGCGCGCGCGACCTAATTTAGAAACGCGACAATGGCGACCGGCCTCTTCGCCGTTACGGTTCGCGCGTCGATCAGGGTATAAAATCCAGCGAAACGTTCAACGTTCGTTTACAATGCACCGCGACGTCGAGACGCAGATCGACTGTGTCCGCCAGCCGATCGACCAGCATTCGTTCTGAACAGTTACAGAAGACATGGACACAAAGAGAGATAGACAAAGAAAGAGAGAGAGAGAGAAAGAGAAAAAGAGAGAGAGAGACAGAGATTGAGAAAGAAAGTCAGAGAGGCGATCCACCGGTCCGTTCCGGTTCACGTGCTCGCGATGCTCTTCGACGGCTTCGGTTTCGCGAAGCACACGTATCCCGCACTCACGTCGCAGCCGGACACCAGAAGGTTCATCAGCACGCTGTTGCAACCGGCAACCGAGGTCCGCTCTGAGCCGCTCTGAGCCCCGTCCCCGCCTCCCCCGCCCTCGCATCCGCCGCCCCCGCTGTCCCCTTCGCTGTCGTTCATCCCCAGGCTCCTAACGTCGTTCCTGCGAGGACCGCCCGTGAAACAGTCACCCTGGTAGACGCCGTTGCTCCTTTGCACCGTCTGCTGGGACACCAGCCGGCGCAGCAGCTGGCTGCCGCCCATGCCCACCGGCTTCCTAGGCATGGACGGCTGTTGTTTCCCGAGCAAATGGTCCTCCAGCACTAGAGGACCGCCCCGGCGACTGGACTCGTCGCATTTGATACGCTTGTTCTCGGTCCCCGTGTCCAACGAGGCTGTGTGGATGCGTTTATTGGGTCTGTCCAGCTTCGCGGCCCAATGACTGACATCCAAGCCAGTATCTGTGGAAACGAGGACGGTCAGAGGACTTTGCAAAAATGCTGTGAACAATCGAACAGCGGATCACTCACGTTTCCTCGGGATTTGACCCAGCACCTGCACCGGGTTCACCAGGCCGCCCCCGTGGTCATTGTACTTTCTGGAGACCACTTGGTCTGTCTTCAGCAGCTGAGCCAGACTCGAGTCCGTCATCCTTTGGTCCTTCTCGTCCAGCATCCTAGAAGCACAATCATTGGTAACTTGGATTTCTTCGGGGAACGAAGACACGCGTTTTCCAAGCTTTTGTCTGGCCTATTCTTAACAAAGAAGCTTTTAATCGAGAAACTAGTTTGCAATCGACAAATCTCGCTTAACGCGGGTACCGTTCAGGTACCGGATCAGTACCATTTTGGACAGCTTTTCTCCGTGGTCTGCGGCGGACTCCACATGACCATGTCGTCACTGATCAGTAGGTCCAACGCTTCGTCTTGGTCCGACATAGGTATATAGGGAGCTCTCAGTGCCAATTCATCGTCTGCTATACTGTCGCTCAGGCCCAGCATCAGCATCTCGTCTTCGGACAAACCTTCGGCACCGCTGCCTCCGGTTGGGCTGCCCAGGGAGTCTATGCTTCTCTCTGGACTCTGCGAAACGAGAATCATATTCAAAGTTGTAGAGCAGAGTAGATAGAGTAGATAGAGTAGATAGAGTAGTAGAGTGAAAATAATAATATAATAATAATATAATAATAATATAATAATAATAATAATAATAATAATAAAATAGTAGTAGTTAGAGAGTAGTAGAGCTAAAATAATAATAATAATATAATAATAATAATAATATTAAAATAGTAGTAGTTAGAGAGTAGTAGAGTTAAAATAATAATAATAATAATATAATAATAATAATATTATTATTAAAATAGTAGTAGATAGAGTAGTAGAGTTAATCCATTATCATCTTTTGAACTGCTTGATTCAAGGTGGCTCAGCTAGGCTCGGCATCGTCTAGACACTTTTTGTCATCTACGATGCATTTCTGGTTGCTGGTTCAATGGAAGATTGTAATCGACTGAATCGCCAAGCGACTAGCTCAGCCAGCAACAGCAAGAACAGCCCCGAAGCAGTTCAGGGGACACCTACTTGTCTGTATTTGACGAGGGACGGTGACACGGAGTTAGGGTCGATGCTGCACGGGCTGCTCGGCGAGTCGCCGTACATGAAGGGATCGCTGTCGGCCAAAGACTCGCCCAAGCCCTTGTTCCTGGTGTCGCTCAGATCGGTGTCCTTGAGGGGATCACCGAAGTCCGTGGAGCGTAGTTCCGTGGCCAGGCCGGCTCCCGGGCTGAGCAGGGGACAATAGTTGTCGTTGCTGAGGATGAACTCGTCGAGCATGTCGGTGAGGAATGGCGTGTCCTCCAGAGGGACGCAGACGTCGCCAGGCGTGGGCGCCAGATGCGTCAGGTCCTCCGGCTCGTCCTTCAACACTGCAACAGAAAATCGCACACGCGTCGCGGTCAGCGAATTCGATCGAGCGCCGCGCCGCGCGTTCGGTCTCTCCGCTCTTTCGGAGCCGATAAATTATGTCAGCGCCGCTCCCATCGCGAGACACCGAGATGTACCGAGAGAGACTATTCTTCCTCCTCGTCCCCGTCCCGCTACCCCTCTTCCTCGAGTCGCCCGAAGACGTTATCGCGATCGAGTCACGTGTCGCGGCTTCTTCCGCTCGCCGTGCTATAACGATCTTGCGTGCATCATCGAGGAAAAAAGGAAGCCGCCGCCGTCGCGGTCGTGTTCGGAGAAGAAGATTAGCCGTGACTGTCGAGGCTAATTATGGGAAATCGATGGCTGGATATCGGTGGGAATTACTGGATGCGGTGGAGCCAACGCGTGGCTGGGGTTACGGCGCGTTGCACGTACTTTTTCCTCGAACTTTCTTCGTCGAGGATGGATCATCGAATTTCGTCGTTTTTAGGAAATAATCGGTCGGGGGTCGACGACAAAGGTTGACCCCCTTCGCAGTCGGGTGCTGACTTTAAGGCTGCTCGTTAAAAGCTGCCGCGTCGCGTTACAAAATAATTTTAACACATTGTTGGCCGGCAATTTTACAACGTCCGGGCGTAACAACACCGGTGAACTCGTGATCGATCATCGACGCGTTAACATTATCTCAAATCGGTTTATATATAAAATCTGCTAAAAGCGTAACTGTTGCATAAGTCGCAAAATGCAATTTCGAAGTGTACAAAGTGCACTGAATTATGTAACATGGAAACACTAATAGTGTCAAGAAAACTGTTTCGAATTTTCGTGTTAAAATGTCTCCGACTGCGAGGGGTCGTTAAATGCTCGAAAGGACACCCACTGGTAAGGCCTGGTTGATCCTCGCTGAACGTCAAGAAGCCCTTGTTCATGTCCTCGGTACGAGGCGCGAATATGCTCGCTGTTGCAGTCTGCGGCGGTGGTCTGCACGTGATCTGTTCCTGCTGTTGCTGTTGCTGCTGCTGTTGTTGCGGGGAAATCGGCACGAACAGCTGCCTGGTGACCGTCTTGGCCTTCGGATTGTACTCCAATGCCGGCTTGCCCTGAAACGATCGACGATCATGAGCGAACCTGCTTTGCGTCGTGAGATAAGAAATTTTCCGCGTGAAATGTTCGATTAGACGAAACTCTAAAGCAGATTAAACCTTTCGCTTCGACGTGAAACAGAGGTCATCGCGATCGGGAAAGAAGTTCCCGGGATCAAAATTCTTGACGCTGAACCAACCAACCGAGTGCTAGAAGCGACTTCGCGTGTACAGACCACTAAGAACGACAAAGTTAAAAATTTATTTAGAAATTCATCCGAGAACTTGTATACTTTCAACAATTCCAGCGCGCATAAAATGCAATCTCGATTGAAATCGTTTGGACAGAAATGAACGGAGTTCCCGAAATTTAGATCTTCGCGTCTCAAAAAACAAATTCGAAAGCATCGATGCGATGACTAAAACTCCTCCTCGTTTCGCTCGATCTGCGCCCCTCTCAATTTTGATCGAAATCAAATGATCCCAAACCGGGGAAATTCATCGGGCTAATTTTGAATCTTGAAGTTGCATTGGCTGCAGAGGCTAACGAAACGGATCGGAACCGGGCTGAATCGGCGAAGAATAGCGATCGATACCTGAAAGATGAAGGGGCGAGCAGCCCGCAGCTTCCGTTTCGGCTCGTCGTTCTCCTTGAGCGACTCCTCGAGCGAGTCCTTGAGCGCTTGCACGCCGACGAACGATTTCTCTGCGTCGCGGACCGGTCTCGGGAAGGTGTTATCCTTCCGCGAGCCGTCCTGGAGCCCAGCCGGCTCCTTTTTCGGTTTCGGTACCGCGGCGCGGAACGTCGAGGTCGTCACTGCCAAAGGTTTCACCGGATCGACGATCGCGGCGATCGGTTCCTCTTTCTGGGCAGCCTCGCCGCAAGACTTGACCTCGCTCTTCGCCGGCTCGATCGCTGCTCGTTCCTCAAGGTCTTCGCTTCCGGTGCTTCCGGTGTCTCCAGTACCGCCGGTCACCTGCACCTGCAGCCGAAGCTTCGTCGCAGCCGGCTGCTGAGAAGCCGATTGCTGTTGTTGTTGTTGTTGTTGTTGTTGCTCTTTATCGGCGGTCTCGTTGATGCTGCTCGAGACCAGCTCCTCCGACTTCACGAGGCTCGGCTCGGTGTCACGGGCTGCCTGTTGACGCACGCTGTACACCTCATCCTCGCGCTCCACCCCGCTGCAATCAGAAATCCTACCTGGTGCAACGGATCCCGTCACCGCGACTCATCCACACTCGCTCTCCGCTTTCACTCGTTATTCTATCCAGCTTCCGCTCGGTGATTTCGTCGAGCGGATTTAGGAAAGAGTGTCTCGACTTAAATCTCTGTTACTCGGTTTCGCCAGCGTGACACCACCCGGATCCTATCTTGTTTGCCTTTTTTTTCTGACTGACACTGTGACTTAACTTAATCTTGTTTCGCTCTTCTACCTTTGAAAAGCATGGTACGGTGATGTCTCCCTAACTGACGCTCAGATTGTGCAAAAAAATGGACAATTTGGGAAGAGGAGATGATACGATTATTCGAGTCTTGCAGCTTTGCAGCTCGTTTTTATAGTTGTTGAGAATTCGTGACTATACAAATGAACCGCAAGGATCGAACAATCGTCTCCCTTCTCCCTAAATCGTCCATTTCTGTGGACAATCTAAGCGTCAATTAGAGAGAGATTACTGTATCTATTTAACTCCGTACAATATATATAAACTCTTCTCAACGCTAAGATTTACGAAACCCGTGAAAACGACGGGTCACTAATTTTGTTAATTTACGATTATTCGTATCGTAGAGATACGTTTGTGAGTTGTTTATTCAATTTATATGTTACTTACGGCAAATGTTACGATAACACTTGTTAAGAATCAGAATAAATGTTTCGTTGTTACTTTTGTAAACTAATATAAAAAGGTTGTTTTTTTTGTGTGCTCCGTAAATCTAGCGTTAAAATGTGTCTTAATTTTTAACTTTGTATAATATTCATTTCTTAAAATTTGCCCTAACCGAACCCTGTCTTAATTTTCTTTATTTTAGAGTGTCCGTACAATACATTCCCCTTAAAATGTGTCTCTACTCAACTCTGTATAGTAATTTCTTCCTGATTCGCGCTCAGATTGCAGACAAAAAATGGACGATCTGGGAAGTGGGGACACGATTGTTCTAGTCTTGCTTCTCGTTTCTATGGTTGTTGGCAATCGGTAACTATAAAAACGAGCCGCAAGGCTCGAATAATCGTATCTTCCCAAATTGTCTATTTTTGTGGGCAATCTGAGCGCGAATTAGAGAGAATTCTAGAGACTTGGGGAGAATTAGGGAGAATCAGGGTCGAATAAGTGAGAATTAGGGAGAATTAGTATTACGCTCTCTTTTTAAAATGAGTACTAAATATTCTTCATTCTGCTCCCATCCTTCTTTTTCAAAGTTGTATCCTAACGCAACATCGATCTGTTCTCTTCGTCTTACTGTCTTGGTACGACTCGAATGCTTACAATTTTACATTCCTGATAATCTTAGACCGTTTCTATGATCTCTTAACAATTTCTACAGAGTTTCGCTGCCGCGAATCTCCATTTCTCAACACCCATTCGAATGAAAACAGCACCCATTTCAGAGACACTCTAACGATAATAGAAGCACCGGAAACGATTCTCCACGACCCTGAAAATATTCGTGCATCTACGGTAAAATCTCCGAAATTGTCCCTCAGCTCGTAAAACAAAAATGGACAATTTTGAAAGAGGAGATACGATTACACAAAAGCCTCGCGGCTCGATGTTACGGTTGTTGGCAATCGAAGAGGCACGATCAGAGTTCCAGTTATTAGAACTTTGACATCGACGCGAGAGGGCATTCGTTACTATATTTTCATAATCCAACGCGTGAACGCCAGTACGAGATAATAATCGCGGACAGAGTTTTATTCGAGTCAATGGTGTATATTTGCATTGAAAACGAGGAAGATGTATCGATTTACTATGGCAGACGAACCATGTCAAAGTGTGTATCGAACCGCCGACGACGTTTATAGCCTACCAGAACGTACAAAATCAATGAAAACAAACGTTTCTACGAAACGTGCAGAGCAAGCGAACAAGAGGAAAAGACTTCCAGCGGAACGGGAAACGAACCTTCCAAAAATGCATATTTTCATAAGCGGATGCGGTATTCTTGCTGTTACACAGATAGTCGTGCATGAATTTGACTGTCTTTATGCAAAATACGAAACGTTTTCTTAGATAGTAGCTCCAATTAGTCGAAACATGAATTAGTTTCAATGCCGATCCGTTACGAAGAGACAAATGACCGCTCGGCTTTCGTTTGTTTCAAGCTTTACCAAACCTGCGTAGGAAAACAGAAATTCGTATGATCTGCGAGCTAATAACAAACAGTTAAATATATCAGATTGGTGCATATGAAACGTCGGTATTTTTTTTAATATGCGAAAGAACCCGTTTCACAGTCTTGCTGTGCATTGCCGGCGTGATATTTTGCAAAAAAAAGCTTCTTTAAATCCTGTATTTCAGAAAAAGCTACGATGTTTTTACTATTCGTCAAGCTAACAGTTCAACACGCGATACAGAGTAATTTCTCTCTAATTGACGCTCAGATCGTGCACAAAAATGAACAATTTGGGAAGAGCAGACACGATTATTCGAGCCTTGCGATTTGTTTTCGTAGTGACCAATTGTCGACGACTATAAACAGACGAGCTACAAGGCACGAATAATCGTATCTCCTCTTCCCGAATTGTCCATTTTCGTGCGCAATCTGAGCGCGAATTGGGGAGAAATTACTGTATTCCTTTTTGTCCATCATAGACGACTAAACATGCTTTAATTGGGGAGCAAAAACAGAAGCGCGTGTTTACTCGCCTGCGGCACCGCACGAACGGTGTGTCGCGGCATAACACGGCAAAAAAGAAAATACAGTAATTTCTCCCCAATTCGCGCTCAGATTGCATATAAAAATGAACAATTTGGGAAGAGGAGATACGATTACTCGAGCCTTGCGGCTCGTTTTTATCGTTACCGATTGTCAAGAGCTGTAAAACCGAGCCACGAGGTCTCGAATAATCGTATCTCCTCTTCCCGAATTGTCCATTTTCGTGAGCAATCTGAGCGTCAATTCGGGAGACATTGCTGTATATTTCACGTGTCGCTCTATCCTTGAAGTCACAACCTGCTAAAATCGGTCTATCGGTCTACCGAACCGGAAATAATCGAGTAATAGTCATCGAAGAAGCTGGATCCTCGATTGCTGGATCAAGTATATCGCGGTTCGAACGAGAATTTCGCAAGCTCGACGGCGTTCGATGTTGTTCGGTCGTGTTCGACCACGGAAATAGAGGTTCACCGAACCGTCGAAGCAGATCGGAAGATTGCTATGGACGCGTTCAGCAAGCGATCGACCGGGATCCGCGGCCTCGCTTGGCCTAGATAGAGGAACGTTTTCTGCGGGCGTGCTGACCGCCCCCGCGCTCCCTCACTGCCTTCCTCGTGCACTCTGCCCGCTGGGGTCCTGACCCTCGTACGAGACGGTGAAGCACATGGCCACACGGTTGTTAGCTCGCGAGTCGTTCTTACATAACGATTACGCTCGTTCGCGATCGTCGCGGGGAGACCGGTTCAACAGCTACCGAGGTCCGTAAACTCTTGGTACAAAGTTGAATCGCTCGCTGTGCGCGCTCGAGAATCTCTCTACTACTCGTGATTCGGCCGGCGTCGTGCGCCGAATCGACGCCATCGTTAATCGTCCGCAAGTAGCACAAGCTTCGAGCAGCCGAAGATCATCGTTGTTACACTAGATCGCGGTTGTTACGCGTTCGCGATCAAATCCGGGTGAAACTTGGAACGTTCTCTTTCCCCGCGAAGATCCGCGGTCGAGTCGTTGAATCGTAGAGCTGTATGAAAATTGTAATGTCTCTGTAATTGACGCTTGGATTGTCCACGAAAAAGTGGTCAATTCGGGAGGAGGAGATACGATTATTCGAGCGTCGCGGTTCGTTTTTATAGTTACGAATTTGCAACGACTATAAGAAACGAGCTACAAGGCTCGAAATATCGTATCTCCTCTTCCCAAATTGTCCATTTTTGTGCACGATCTGAGCGTCAGTTAGGGAGACATTATTGTATTCGCAGAACGGATTTGAAGGAACAAAAGCGCTTGACGCTTCAATGTCTCCGATATTGTACCACGATTCCCTCCAGTATCGTGCATCGTCATTCGTTCAACAAAGTACATTCTATTAACCCTTTGCACTCGAAAGCTAAAATAGTTTCTTTGCCCTATAGTATTTTCATTTCGTATAACTTACTGCATTTGATGCGTGCGACATTGAATTTTGTGACTGAAGCAACAGTTACACTTCGCGTAATGTTTTTTCTTTAACCCTTTGTACTCGAACGGCGACTCTGAGGCGACGCTAAAAATTGCTGCACTGTTTTCAAAAGAATCTTCGCATTGTTAAATTTATTTTATTATTAAATTATTCGTTAAACTGATAAATAATGGAAGCGTTCTGTAATCAGACGCGTTCAATTTCACATGTATCAAATTAAAACAATCGTAACAAGTGGGAAATATTGTAGGTTGAAACAAATGTCTTCGTTTTGGAGTTAAAATAGTCTCTCGAGTGCAAAGGGTTAAATATAAACAACTTCGATGATGATAAGACTAGTTTGAAACGTGATAAAACAATTCTTTATGGCGTCTCAGAGTCGCCACTCGAGCGCAAAGGGTTAAATCTGACTAAAATGGGCCGCTTTCTAATTGTTTGCAACAGATGTTTCTGCATCATCGAAAAGAGAAAGAAGGATAAGCATACAGTGTATAATGTCTCTCTAATTGACGCTCAGATTGTCCACAAAATGGACAATTTAGGGAGAAGGGAGACGATTATCCGATCCTTGTGGTTCAGTTTTATAGTCATGAATTGTCAACAACTATAAAAACGAGCTGCAACGCTCGAATGATGGTATCTCCTCTTCCCAGATTGTCAATTTTTCTGCACAATCTGAGCGTCAGTTAGGCAGACATTACTGTATTCGGTTTCCAATCGATTCGTTTCCTACAACGGGGAAAGCGAGAGAAAGAACAGAGACAGATTAGGCTATCCGAGAAGATTCGATTAAGAGATCGTCCGACTTTCACGCCGTTTGATTCCCAGATGGGTTATCGGAAGGGT